CACCTTGGCTTTGGATTTGAGTTGAAAACCTAAGGAGGAAGTCTTTATCTGGGATCCAGAAGGAGAACTGGGAAAAAAGCAGATCAAGGTCTGACAGGAAAATGAACTAAATAAAAGAAAAAGCCCAGAGCCAATTTGTTAACTAGTCCAATAAATCAATATGGTATCTGGCTACCATATGTAATGGCAGAATCGAAAGGAGTATCCAGGACTAGGTGCTGTTGATTAGAGTAGAAAGAGTGCCCTTTTCCAGGCCTGATCAGCTAGAAAGGTATCATTTTTCCTGGGATCTAGTTACAGGAGAGCGGGAAGAGAATCCAGGATATGGGGGCGTGCCAAAAGTGGCCGGACACATCAGACCTTGTGTGGGTGGAGAAACAGCCAGGGGGGCCTGCCTCTCACAAGTTATTTAACCTCTCTGAATCTTTTTTGTCTATTAAACATGATTAATAAATATGAACTGTTAGGAGGACTAAAGGAAATAATCAATGAAGAGTGCTTGACAAACAGCAGGTACTTTCTACTAAGTCCCTTCTACAGTAAACTTCCCTTCCCCTCTAAACGGGAGAATGGGATAAACCAGAAAAAGAGACTATCTCAACAAGTGAACTGTTTGATGACTTTCATTATTTTTGTTAGTGCTGATTGAGTAGTTCACATTATTGGAGAATGTATACTGCCTGCTTTCATTCCTTTCAACTAATATTTATAGACAGTCTCCCTTTAAGAATGTCAGTTTACCCTGTGAAATGGTCCTACTGTTTTTATCAACAATAGTGATAAAAGGCCAAAACAGTATTCATTCAACAGAGAGGTGTATTGAGTGTGGTTTGTCCTGAGTGAAGATGTCACTGGTCTCGGACCTAAAAGAATCCTGTCTCATGGAATGTCAGCTGGTTCCTATGAGCCTAGCCTGGAGAGGAACAGGGTCATAGCCTGTCACTTCAGCCATCTTCACACACATAGATAAAACCACTGTTAGCAACAGCATCTTTAAAGGACAGCTAACATCCTGTTGTTTTTGGCTGTTTTTTCCAACTGGCAAAAAAAGCTGTTCTCATAGCCAGTTATCTCACAGTGTCAATTTCCTAAGCATATTTAAAGGGTTGCTGTTTAAGCATATACTTCACGTGGTACCACGTTTTCACAATCTTGATGGCAGTAAAAATCGGACTGTCAAAAATCTGTTTTACTGGGAGAGGCATCAAAAATTCTATAAATCAGGGCTGGCCAAGTGGCTCAGCTGGTTAAGAGCTCGCTTGGGAGCACCAGCTCTGAGCAGCAGGGCCGCGGTTCGGATCCCACATTAAGGGCCAGTGACGCTTGCCCTCTACAGCTAAGATGCTGAACAACAGCTCAACCTAGATAGAGCTGGGCTGCTGTGAGTCGCCGGCGACAGCGTAGGCTGCAGTGGGGCGACAGCGTAGGCTGCCATGAGCTACTTGAGTGGCTGGCAGCCAGTGTGAGCGGCTGGCAGCCAGCGAGAGCTGCTGTGAGCCACCATGAGCGGCCGACCAGTGACCAGCGACTGATTGCCTCACCCGGGCAGAGAGCAATGATCATACCAACATGGGCCAGTGAAGCGACAACTAGACTGAAGAACAAAACAGCAATTTGTCTACCTGTCTGTTCTCCTTCCCCGATTCCCCAACGCTGTTCCCCTCCCCCCATTCCCCAATAAAATCTCTGGGGGAAAAAAAAAAAAAGAGTCCTGTGATCAAAATGACTTGATCGCCAAAACCCATCTTCTGATCCCTTTTCTCCAAGCTGAGTCTCTTTCATCTGAGTGCTCTCTCACTCACTAGCCCTGGAACCTGAAATAGGATCTCAATTTCTTTATACAGACTAATTATTCTCAGGTTCTTTCCAGATGTACAAATCTATGAAAAAACATTAAATGGCTAAGTTTCAAGTAGTTTGTGAAAGTTCCTAAGACTGCATTAAATGCTAATGATACAATGCAGGTATATGTATATACCACTCCATGTAAACTTAGCTTTGAGAGGAACAAACTCATAATCTATACCTTGTACACAGCACAAACTGAACAAAAAGTTCAATACATAAATAAACAGATGAATGGGAATGCTGAAGGTACCTGGAAACACAGCTGGACATTACAGGTGGTAAGGTGAGAAAGGAATCATAGGACAGAAACACTTAGATAGTAATGGAGTGCTTCTGCCAAGGACCCGTAATGTGGAAGGGCAGAAACAGCAACCAGAAGAATATAGTGATCCCCATCACTGGGCTACTGGCTTCCTCTGAAAGCACCAGTGCTCTGTTAGCCAAATTCTTCTGGGAAGCTCTCAATTCCTGTTTACTCTAAAACAGATGAAAAAGAAAAGAAAGAAACCAGCTTATTCCTTGTAACTTAAAACCCAAGGGAGGTTAGGAAGCACTGGGAGGCAAAGAGATTCACACAAATATACACACGTTTACAAAATCATATCTGCTGGGGAGAGGTTAATGAGGCACACAAAATCCCAGGGCTGACAGGAAGTGGAATTAGAACCACAAAAGCCAAGAAGACAGTCAACAACTTAAAAATCTCCAGACGCACTCAGTTTATTAAAACTGAACATAAGTTGGGAGGGGAAAAGGAGACCCGTGAACCTGGGGGGCATTTCACTGAGTCAGAGAAGGTCACTGCTTATTTCACATTAGAACTTCGATTGCTATTAAATAAATTCTTGAAGCATCCAAAAAGCAATCAAGCAATGAAACAAAATAGAAAAGGAAACAGTCAGAAAAGCTTGTGATGATTTCTAAAACAAAGGTTTTTATACCAAGAAATTCACCCTCACATAAGAGCCAAATAGACGTGGAAAAGACACTTTTATTTATTTTTTTAATCTAGTAGGATTTTTGAAATTGGAGTTGCATTCCCTGCACCTCAAACAGTTCACAAAAATTCTAAGAGCTCTAGGCCCTTACCAAACCAGTTCTAGTGAAGCCTACTGTGAGGCCACTGCAAGGCAATTAAAGCAAGTACCAATCATTCACTCAACAAACATTTCTGGAACATCCTCTAAGAGCAATAAACGCTGCTATGCATGGGAGGAGCAGAAATGAGGGAGGCAGTGCTGCTATGCTCAAGGAGCTTCCAGTCCAGTGGGGGGACAGACACATAATGGATACCAGACAACATGAAGGGGCCACTGTAGATTGACTTAGGGAAACTTCACCTTCAAAGATGTCAGTAATCCGTTAGGGAAAGTAACATAAGAAAGGTATTATTTCAGGATAAAGCAGGTGCAAAGGCAAAGGCATGGAAAGAACCTGGGAGGTCCATGGAGATGGGGAAAGGCATGGTTTGGCAGAAACAGGGTGAGAGGGGACGGGGAGACAGCAACTACTAAGAATTCATGAAGGTAAGCTCACAGACTACCAGGGCAGTACGTGTGCAAACAAAACATCACAATACAACAGGAAGTGAATATAATGGAACAAGTACAGAACAGCAGGCGAGGGGACACACAACAGGGCACTTTGTTAGACAAGGGTTCCTATAAAAGGCAATGCCAAACCTGAGCTTTAGATTATAAACAGGAATGTGCAAGGCAGACAGGAGGGGACGTTTCTAGCTGGAGAGCAGAACCTATACAGAGGCACAAAAGCATGGCGTGCTCAGTGACATAGTTGGATTGTAAGGCATTGTAAGGCATAAGACAGGAAATGGGATTCTAGAATTGTCAGCTGGGTCAGATCCTTACAAGCTTGAAGTTATATCAAGTTTCTATTTACTATTGAAGCCTAAGGAGCCATTTTAAGGTTTTAGAAGACACTAACATATTTGTATTTAAAAAAGATATCACAACCTCTTCAGGTTTCCTATATAATTTTATGTCATGGTTTATCTGCTATCTTCTCTTCCAAGTCTCAACACTCCCCTTTGTTTAGACTCACTATGCACAGACTATAATGATAATCCATTAAAGAGATCAAGAATTACAATGTCTAATTATAAAAATAAAAATTTTTTAAATAAAATTTTAAAAATAAATTTGTTGAGTACAAACTAAGGGCCAGACACTGTGCCAAGTGCTTTGCATTTATGTCTCACTTTGATCTTCGTGGTACCCTTAGGAGGCAGGTGCCATCATCACTGCCATTTGACAGTTGAGGAAACAGAATTAGAGCAACTTACTGAAAATCAGAACACTAGTCAGGGAATGCAAATGGATCTCAGTCTGTCAGGCTCTAAACTCCATGTTCTTTGCCTTCCTGTCACCCTGCGTCCTAAGCAAGCCATGATCTTCTATCCTTACAACTGTATTGCTTTAATTATCCACCCATCAATGACCCTCGTGTGTTTTTACTAGTAAAGCATAACACCTGCTGAAAGTCTGCAGGACCTTATAATCATACTGGCAATCACTAAGGAGTTCACATCCACGCAGAAGGCAAAGGTAGGCCGGCGCCCTCGGTGCTATAGTTACAGCTAGTGGGTCAGGAGGCAACCGTGTCGCACTCCTTCCCTGTGCAACCCTGTGCAACCAAGGAGTTACTGGTGGCAGAGAAGGGGAGGACAGGAGGAAGAGGAGGAGAAGAACGAAGAAGAGGGGGAGAGGAGAGAAGACTAACACAAAAAGGAGTCATTGGAAAACGGGAGAAAGCACATCGTGGTACCAGCCAGAGCTTCCTGGACCAGTTCCCAGTCTGGCTGCCAAAGAGCTCTGGAATATATTTGTTAGAGCTGGATTCCTGTACAGTCCATTGCAGACGTTTTCTGATTGCACTCTGACAAAGAGACCCACACTTTAGTTCCAATCCCTGTTTCCCACCCAGAAAGCTAGTTAGTTCTCAGGGGACCGCCAACGAAGCTCACCACTGGCCTCTCAGTAGGGTCTTCACATGCGACACAAGCTCAGAAAGAAAGAAAACTCCATCGCATACCTCTTACCCGTGTAGAATCGCTGAGCCTCTCTACCCAGGCTCCTGCCCCGCCTTCCCAGGCCCCTTTTCCCAGCACACAGTAAGTTCTGGAGTCTCCTTACCAAAGCAACTGCTGCGATGAGGGACAAAGGTCTTACAGGCTGTAGCAATAGCTAGTTCAGCAGAGATGATAGTTTTAATGATCAGGTCTTCTACATGGTACATCAGCGCTACAAAAAAAAAAAAAAAAGAAGGAAAGGAGGAGGAAGAGAAACACTACGATACATGGATTAGAAGGTCTGGATTCCAGAACACACTATAATATAAAAGCATGTGTGCTCATTCAAAAAAGTCCCTCTATGGCAGCCTTGTGAATGGGTGCTCCCGGGGAAGGCAAGCTGTGAATAGGGCAACAGTCAAGAATGGAGGCATTGGGGGACATACTCAAGTACCCTCCTATGACCAAAGACAGACATAAAAGGGAAAAGAACCTTACTCCCATTCTCACTCTTTTCCTATCATCCTGCCCTTTGTGGACTGAGGTAGGCCTTGTGGCGCACACTTTCCCATTCTGCTCAAGGCTCAGCAGTGGTGTCCATCTGGATTCCAAGCCCTGTGCTCCAACTCAGTACTGCCCATTCTACAACTTAGCAACATGAATGAGAGAGATTAACTTAGGAAATTTGAACTCTGGGCCAATATGGAGACAATTTGTTATATAAGAAGTTGACAGTATTTTAGCAGTTCAACATTCAAGAAGATAAATTCACTAAAGCTTAAAGGGAAAAGTTATGCCTTTCAAACTAGAAACAAGAAAAGGGATTTCAGGGGTCATGGAGAGCCTTTTCTCCATCTAGTAAAGGGTAGGAAAAACTGACACCAAAAACAGTGATCCCGTTAGCTGTCTCCGAAACACTATTACAACGAAAGAGAATGACTCCTGATGAGAGACAATAGTCAAGTTACACAAAGAAGAGAAGTCAAGAAGAAGAAAGGCCTGATACTCACCAGTTGTATCTCTGCCTTCTTGTTTCAGATACCTAAGCATAGCACTCATGCTCCATTTGTTCCCATAATCCTCCACTTCTGGATCATCACAACTAAAACAAAGTAATGGATCAAGGTCATATAAGCAACTAGGCCTAGCTATAGAAACAAGATTTTGTACAAATAGTTTCCTTGTCCTTTTATAGCTTTAGAAAAACATTCCCTTTACTAACTTCCACTTCACCCACTTTTTCCCGATCCTTTTTGTCATACATCCCTTTGTACCAATTTCTTCCATTGAAATGAAAATGCATATAATTTGCTTTAGTGAGGGGTGTAGGAGAGAAGGCAGCAAATTCTTCCTTAATCAAATATGTATCATGAAAGAATGAAAGAAATATGTGAAAGAATATAAACAAATTTAAGAATGGTTACAATACATTAATAGATTGAAATGTCTGGAACACAAACCTAGCCTTTTAGGTAAATGTCACATGAACCCACAAAACAACCGCTGATGCCATTTTCAGGCCGAAACTGAGTCTGGATGGGCTAGTACACTAACCTACTTGTAGCATTTTAATGAACTAACCAAGCATAGAACTGCGTTAGCATCTGAAGCAAGCTCCCTCCTCTCTGGTGGTAGCCACAGCTTTTTAAAATACCATTTGATGTATCGCTGAAGGGAGATCGCACCAGGGAGACAATAAAAGTAATGAAGGACGCCATTGCCACAGGAGCAGAGTGGCAAATGGGCTAGACTCCCATGACTGATGGAAGGCTCTGACAACCTGGGACTTGTGCTTTGCAGCTGCCCCTCAATCCCTACCACCACTCACCAGCTGCATCTTTGCTCACCTTCTAAAGTGAAGGATATGACATCTTCAACCAATTGCTAACACTGGTCACAGGACACTCAATGAAATCTACATAGCTTCGGTAACTTTGCCATCACTTCCAGAATCCTTTCTTTCTTTCTTTCTTTCCTTGGACCTTCTAGGCACCTATTTTTAGTCTGAGTAAAAAGTAACTGTTTGGGTTTCTTTTTATTTTTCCACTTTCTGGCAAAATTATCAGAATGAAAGAAAACAGAGCAGAAAGAATATTTCCACACAGCTGGGCTGGTACTCGCTTCCACTGAATCCTTTTCTGAGATGGCCTCGTTTCTTTCTTTAGTTTATTCCTAAGTTTTCCCCCGCTGATCATACAAGTGTTTATTGTAGAAAAATTGAGGAACTATACCAAAGCTCAGAGAAGAAAACAGAAATCACCCACCCATAATCCCATCCACTATATTTAAGAATTGTTAACAGTTTAGTATGTATCTTTCTAGTTTCTCCCCTCCCCAGCAAAAATAAACAGCTTTAGCTACCTTATATATTCAAAAAAGAAATTAACTGCACATAGTGTCTGGTAACCTGCTATTCCCACCTGACAATGCACAGTGATGACCATTCTTGTCTCTGATCTGGTGTGCACATCCTTTGTTATTTTTTAAGGTTATATTCCTGGAAATGAAATTGCTGGATCAAAGGGTACAAATATTTTTAAAGCTTTATGATGCATTTTGCCAAGTGCGGAAATGACCTCATTTATTGACTTCTAAAAAGTTTCGTATCCCTATTAAATTCCCACCCCTAAATCAAGAAAGGGAAGACAATGAGGAAGATGACACTTGGGAAGGCATATTTTGGCAGAGAAAGGTGACGCTGTAACTGGGCAAGCGCTGGAGAAGCAGCAGCAGATATATGCCTCAAAACCGTTAAATGACTCTGACAGCTTCTCATAGGTCACATGGACATAAACACAATTTTCCTCCAGTGCGACATGTTGACTTTCTACTTTAACACCCAAATCTGAGACGGACCACTCTGGTTTCTGGCTCAGCTGCAGCCAGTACCTGACATAGTCCCCACTCTTCTTATTCACACTGTAGTTTGTCAGGTGCATGAACTGGTTCCGAATGTTCTTGGCTCCTTGGTCATATCTCACAGTTGCAAACCTGATAGAAAGGACACAGGAGGTTAAATGTCAGGAACAGGGTTTCAAAGAAATACAGGCTAGAGCTCAGGCTCAATGAGATATTCATAAAAGGAGGGTGAGATCATTAACAAATACCGAGGGCTGACTCCCATGCTAAGTGTTTCATATATAATATCAGATTTAATTCAATCCTTAAAGCAATTCTCTGAAATAGGTAATATTATATCTCATTTTAAAAAATAGGTCTCAAAACTAAAATGTGACCTAGAAAGATTAAATAACTTGCCCCAAATCACACTAACTCCAAAGCCCATGTTCTTAAGCACAAGATGCTACTTCTCTTATATAGAACCTTAGACTCATAGGAAGGATGAAAAGTGAAAACCCAAAGGGTGCCAAAAAAAAGTATATACATTTTAAGAAAATAAAAAACTATTAAAATTGTAACACTCAATATACCGATAACAAAAGATGAATACAAATCACGTTTGACTTCTGCAATTACCAGAGGTGCTCAAAGTGGTTACCATCAGCGTCCAGACACTTCCGATTACGGCGAACTACTGCTTGAGCGACGTTGACCCAAGTGTCCACTTGTATACATTTTCTTGGCACCCTGGTAGTTATTTACAACTTGAGAAACTGCGTGTAGGATGCTGTGGCTGATGAGGCATTAGCTTGTCAACAAACACCTACTGAGGGCCTATTCAGTGACTGGTACTATGGCATTCCATGGAAAATATTAAGCAAAAAGAAAAAAAGGACTGCATAACAACATGTAGACTTAGAACTCACATCCAGAGAAATAAAAGAACTGATCTATAAAGCTCATTTTTAAGAAAACCATAAAGCGGGGCCAGCCGAGTGGCACATTGGTTAGGAGTTGGCTTGGGACGCCAGCTCTGAGCAGCAGGGCCCCAGTTCGGATCCCACATGCGGGCCAGTGACGCTGCGCCCTCTACAGCTAAGGTGGTGAACAACAGCTTGACCTGGAGCTGGGCTGCCGTGGGTCACTGGCGACGGCGTGGGCTACAGTGGGGCTGTCCAGCAGCTGGCTGCCGTGAGCCACCGTGAGCGGTCGTCCAATGGCAGGTGAGCGACTGCCTCACCCGGGAAGAGCGTAATGATAATACCAACATTGGCCAGTGAAGCAATGTCCTCCACAACTAGACTGAAGAACAAAAGGACAGCAACTTGTCTGTTCCCCTCCCCCAATTCCCCAATAAAATCTTTAAAAAGAAAAAAAAAACATAAGGGCAGCATTAACACCAGACAGTCTAGGTCTGCAGAACAGCATAAACATGAGCAGCGCAGGAGACTAATTCCTGAATTTGGAATGAAGGCAAAAGACAAGAGAGATTAAACATGGAGCCCACTGAAAACGGGGCAGGAATTTGATATCCTGGACTATGGTCAAAGGAAGACCAAAATATAAAATATACGTGCCTGTGAGGGAAGTAACCAGGGAAAGCGAAAACTTCCCAGTGACGCGCAACATCAACAAAAGGACACTCGAGTCGAAGTTATGGTAAATATCACCCCTGTTTACATACCACTATAACCATATCACCCTGCACTGAAGTGCTTTTCCCAAGAGGCACATCCAAGTGTGTGAAAAAAAAAATCCTGGAAGTCCACAAGTTTATTTTCATATGATTTACAAATTATTTACATATGCTCACTCAGACTATGAAGTCAACATGAATTTTTACCACATTAAAGGGCAGCATTTAAAATTTTTCTTCTTTATTTCTTCTCACCCACCCCCCCACTATCTCCTCTCCCTAATTCCCTGCACTAGATATATGTAAGAGCTAAAGAAAGAAAAGTACAAAAAACAAAACAAAACAAAAAAACTAACATAAACAAACATGAGGCCAGGAAGAAGGATGTGGACAAAGAGAAAATGCTGACCAGGCTTGAATGGCTCCAGGGCAAGAGTCTGATGAGCATTAAGTCTATACACATAGAAAGACCTCAAACTTTCCAGAAACTTCCGGTAATTATCACCTAACTTCTAGCCATGTCGCTCCATGGTGACTAAACCTTCCTTGCCTATAATGGTCCCAATCTTCCTACGGCAGATTTTCTTCAAGCAAGTGGGACACAGTCATTCGTCATTCTCTAAATTCTTGTGAACAGCAACGGGGGCCACGCTGGCCCCACGGAGGCTGCCTGCCTCACCCAGACATTACCTCACAGTGACAAACCTCCTGCCATCCTCTCCCCCAAAAGAAAGATGATTTACAGGGAGGAGAAAGGTTATGCTTCAGAGAAAGAGGTTTCTCATCTCTCCTAAATATAAGTACTTGATCTACTTTGGTCAACAACATGGAAAGCCTGGTGGTTAACTGTAACCCAGACCTTCAGTCATTCCCACGCTCCTTTTTTCAACAGGCCTGCATCACTCAAAAATAAGTTTTCTTCTTCCTAATCTCCCTTTTTGCTAGGGAATTTATATTCCAAATTCCAGCATGAACAAGATTATTAACATCAGAGTGGGCTTCTATATCGAGTATAAGAAGTGACACGTAAAAATTAGAGAAAACAAAAATATAAACTCAATGAAAAAGTTACCAAAAGGACAAAAGGGCTACATTCTTTGTTTCACTTACCCCAATGGGATACGCAGAAGACCGTGTAGAGCAGCGGTTCTCAACCTTCCTAATGCCGCGACCCCTTAATACAGTTCCTCATGTTGTGGTGACCCCCAACCATAAAATTATTTTCGTTGCTACTCTATAACTGTGGTTTTGCTACTGTTATGAATCATAATGTAAATATCTTTTTGTTTTCTGATGGTCTTAGGCGACCCCTGTGAAAGGGTCGTTCGACCCCCAAAGGGGTTGCGACCCACAGGTTGAGAACCGTTGGTGTAGAGGAAAGGTAAGTGTATACGCTCATCTTTCCTTGTACCCCAGGAAGGTCTTAGGGCTCTCACTAAAATCCATATTAAACAGGCCATATTCATCTCTGATCACTGTTTTCCAACATTTTCTTATTGTCTAGACCAGGGTTCAGCAAACTGTGGCTCGTGAAGACACATGCGGCTCTTTGGGTACGTTCCGTCTAAGAAGTTTGCTGACCCCTGGAAGAGCCAATCCTGCCCCTCACAACAATTTAAAAATTATTCAAGAGCCATAAATATATTTTTATAAATAAGAAAATTTTAATGTAATATTATAAATGCAACTATGATAGTTTTATTTTCATTTTCAATTTTACTTCAGAGCCACATGTACGTACCCAAAGAGCCGCATGTGGCTCGAGAGGCCCAGGTTGCCGACCCCTGGTGGCTCTTCCGTCTCAAAAGTTTGCCGACCCTTGGCCTAGACCAGAGGTCCCATCGGTCTCAGATGTTGGCATACTAGTCAAGTTCTGATTAACCTACCAAGGTTATTTTTTAAAACTTGAATTACTTGCCAGCATTTGAAGTCAGACCTTCCTTCCTGCACCCCAATGGCAGGCAGGTCCCACGTAAGGAAGATGGTGGACAGGATGGGAAGGCAGCCCAGAGGCAGTCCAAGGAGGTTATCCAAGGAGGTGTAACCCAGGTGGCCCCACAGGGATCAAAAACCAAGGAAGGCAAGTCAGCAGGGCAGTGACCAGGGAGGTCGGGAGACTGGCTACATACAAGGGAACTGAGTAAACAAACTTGTTGAAGACAACAGGAATCAGATTTCTCATTGTTGGAGAAGAGAGATTTGAAAACAAACAAACAAACAAAAAAAATGAAAGGGAAAAAGCTAGAATGAATCCTGTAGTTTTGAGCTAGAATTGGAGGTATTAGTATGAGCTCCTGCTTTTCAATATATATTGGGTTGTCGGAAAAGTCATGACATAGTTTTTCTATGTTTTTCATTGCAAAAATGCGTCATGACTTTTCTGACAACCCAATAGATATAGAAACACACATAGAAATGAACATAGATGTAAATGTGTGTGTATGTGTATGTGTATGCATACACATACACATTTCTACATCTGTCCATTGCAAGAATCTGAGAGCAGACAGCCCAGAGCAATGAGCATACCTAGCATCTGGATCTTGAGTTCTAAGTACTAGTCTCCATTAAAAGCAACCAGTGCCTCTTAGAGGAAATGGTTGATTCCAGGGCTGGGGCACAGAAAGAACAAGATGAGCCTGAAACATCTTGTGCTCAAAGAATAAGGGAACACGTCAAAAGGACACAAAAGCCAGTTTGAAAGGGTTCTCATTGTCCAAATCTGGGACAATCTGAGCATGAAAATAAATCATAATAGTAAAGAATTATAACCCATTAAATAAAAAAGAATCCTGAGTCCACATTGGTATATATAAATAAATGAATAAATGGGAAGGAGAGAAAGTTCTTTCTTGGAGCAAAATGCCAAATAATAAAAGTAAAAGGAATGGTGGAATTAGAAAATCATTATTTGGCCGCCATCATAGTACTAATTCATTCAGGCAAGGTATGTCAATGGATATGAAAATTATTAGGTGAAAATGAGATCAGGAACAAGATATTACACGGTCTCAAAGTTATTTCCTCAAAAGATACTTATTGATCAGAGAGGGGGAAAACAAAGTAACTTTACAGTGGAAAAATCTGGCAGACACCATCAATCAAGTGGTCAAACACCACTAAATACATAGTTATCATGTGCTATCAAGTATAACGCAATGAGAACACAGCATCACTTCTGCAGCATCCCGGCCAAAAATACATAATCTGAGTCTAATCATGAGAAAATATCAGATAAACCCAAATTGAGGGACATTCTACAAAATGACTGGCCCGTAATCTTCAAAAATACTAATGTCATGAAAATCAAGGAAAGACTGAGGAAATGTTCCAGACCGAAGGAGACTAAAGATATGATAGCTAAATATAACATGTGATCCTGGACTGGATCCTTTTGTTAAAAAGAACATTATTAGGACAATTGGAAAAATTTGAATGTGGTCTCTAGGTGAAAGGTAAAAGGCAGTTCTTCATACTATTTTTACAGTTTTCCTATAAATTTGAAATGGTTTCA